TGTGTATTTGAAAGGACAACTTACCAGTGGATATACTACTGAAGTATATGCCTCTCTACTCAAGCAACTGTTAAAACTGCTGTAGATGCTCAGGGAAGGTGAGACCTTACAATCCCACCGCCATCCATGATAGAATGTTAGTAGGCCCAAGTTCCAGCAGGCCTGTGCTGTGAGTTCATGGGTACAAAAGCCATGTAACAGCCCCATTTCACTACAATCATACAGTGCTCATAGATTGCTGCCCTTTCCAGAGGACCCTAGATCAGTTCCCAGCATCCAAATCAGATTGGTCACAACTGCCTATAACTTTAGCTGGCCTGAGGACACCTATACACATATAACATACACAGACATATAAAATTTAAAAACATTAAAAAAAAAAATCTTAGCCAGGTGGTGATGGTGCATGCCTTTGATCTCTCAGCACTTGGGAGGCAGAGGCAGGTGGATCTCTGTGAGTTGAGGCCAGCCTGGTCTACAGAGTGAGTTCCAGGACAGCCAGGGCTATCCAGAGAAACCTTATCTCCAAAAACCAAACAACAACAAAAACTTTGAAAGTGCTCTGGCATTAAAGAAATTAACATTGGGAGGTGGAGAGATGGTTCAGTTAGGAGAATGCTTACCAAATAAACTTGAAAACCTGAGTTAGGTCCTTATACCATATAAAACTGGGGATCTCACCACATGGGAAGGCAGAAACAGGAGGATCCCTGGAGCTGGCTGGCCAGCCAGTCTGGCTGAATTGGTGAGTTCATTGAGAGACTGTTTTCAGAAAATAAGGTGGAGTATAATTGAGGAAGACACTTGACATGGACATCTGGCTTTTCTCATGCACCCACAATCATTTGTGAATGCTTATAGCCTGACACATATAACTAACAATGTGCCTGCTTTGTTCTGAAGGCTTCAGAATCAAAGCACATTGGCTCACCAAGTAATTGCTGACATTCCAATTTTTTCAGAAGAGGAAAATGGTGTTCTCAAATGATTTTGCACCAGTAATTTAGGACAGCCATGAAGCAACCCACATGGCTTGGATTAAGCTGTTAACTCCACTGCCACAGCTGTAGGCTACGGTGGAAAACAAGACATTCATGAACTTGCAATTTATGAATTTTGTCACCTCTGCCCACTGTTACTGGAAATTTCCATGTACCAAATACTTTAAGGACTTGTCATACTAAAATCTCAATAATTAAGGGTTTTGTTTTTGTTTTTTGTTTGTTTTTTCCCCCAGTATTTCATTTTACTGATGAGGAAATAGTCTAAAAGAAGCCAGGCATGGTAGTGCCTACCTGGTTCTAGCTACTTGATTAGTTAGGACAATTGCTTGAGCCAGGAGTTGGAGGCCAGCCTAGGTAACATAGACCCTGGATCAAAAGAAGAAAAGCCTCAGAATTGAGTTATCAACTTTGTCCTGATCCTGAAAGGCAGGTCCCCTTTCTCTGAGATCTCTGGATATCTGGGAGATGGCTAGTTTGCATCGTCAGCTTGACTGGATTTGGAGTTACTTAGGAGACACCTCCAGGCATATCCTTGAGGTTTCCAGGAAGGTTGAACTGAAGAGGGAGGAAGAGCCACTGTGAATGTGGGGGGCTGAGGTTCAGGACTAAATAAAACAGAAAAAGGAACTGGTGGCACATGCCTTGTATCCCAGGGGTTACAGAGCGAGATGTCTAAAAAAAAAACCAAGTAGAGCCACCCACCATGGTGACGGACTGCATCAAAGTAAGTCCCAGATATATGGACCACCCACCTTCCCTGGTGCTTTTGTTGGGTGTTTTGCCTCAGTGACAAGGTGCATCTGCTGTGGGACTGGATGGTAGCGCGTTTTGGATTGAGCCTTAGGACGAGGATTGTGAGGTCAAAGTGGATATTGCACCTATCCACTCCAGTTATATCTGGTTCCTCTCTCCTTCCCTGGGAGAGACTCACTGCCTCCTTGGAGCTGTGTTCAGCCATTGGAAAGGAGGAGGAATGTCCTCCTAGACAGGCTTTACGAGCAAAATGGCCTGTGCCTGCTCCCATGCCTGCTGTTGCTCTCTTTTTGTGGAAAACCGAAAGCAAATGGAATGTAGACTGCAGGTCTTCAAGAATGTCAGGCCATGTGGCATCAAGGAAATGGCTGGTGAGTCACTCTAGGCTGAATCCCTTTCTTGGAGCTTGTTGCAGACAGTTTGCAGCCTGTCTTGAGCCGGCAGCTCAGACTGTGTCTTTGCTTCCTCTCTGAGCCTGGTTCCCCCTTAGTTCTTTGTGGAGTGTCAGATGACACTGTGGTAAACCATAGAATACTAGATGAATGAGGAACCGTGCTAAGAGTTGACAATCTAGGGCCGGAAGTTGGATGTTGGGGTTGAGTGCATTGAAGTATAATTGGGCCAATTCTTCAAATACAAACATTGTAAGTCCTGGGACTGTCAAACTAGTCTGGGACCTTAGGCACCTGACTGCTTCATAGAACCTCAATTCATCTACCTGTAAAATAGGACATATATAATAAAATTACTAAAAGATTATAAGAAATGGCATAACCAGCCAGTTTTGAAAGCAATTCGCCAATTACTCAAAAGGTTAAATGGGGGGTTGGGGGTTTAGCTCAGTGGTAGAGCGCTTGCCTAGCAAGCACAAGGCCCTGGGTTCGGGCCTCAGCTCTGAAGAAAAAAAAGATTAAATAGGCCATCATGATGGTTGAGTAGATAAAGGCCCATGCTGCCAAACCTGATGACCTCAGTTTGATACCCAGGATCCATAAGGTGGAAGAAGAAAAATGACTCCTAAAGATTGTCTCTGACTGACTTCTGCATACATGCCATGCATGTACACACACATACACACTACTTATTTATTGTTTTTGATTTTTCAAGGCAGGGTTTCCCTGTGTAGCCCTGACTATCCTGGAACCCACTCTGTAGACTGAGTGCTGGGGTTAATTTTTTTTCTCTTTTTTTTAAGATTAGCTGGAGTTGCTGGGCGGTGGTGGCACATGCCTTTAATCCCAGCACTTGGGAGGCAGAGCCAGACTGATCTCTTGAGTTTGAGGCCAGCCTGGTCTACAGAATGAGATCTGGGACAGGCACCAAAACTACACAGAGAAACTCTGTCTTCAAAACAAAACAAAAAACAACAAAAAAGATTAACCAGAGTTACCATTAAAATCCAGAAATTCTACTCTTAAGAAATTCTAAGAAAAATGAAATGCTACATTACCTGATCAAACATTATTCCTAATAGAAAAAGAAAAAAGCATCCAAGTGGCATTCACTGATGAATAGCGTATAAATGTGGTATGTCAACACACACTAATAAGTGCTCAAATATAGATTTATCTTTGGAGCAATAAAAGAAAGCTTAAGGCCAGCCTGTATCACATAGCAAGACAAGATCCTCTCTTAAACAGAACTGGTTACACAAAATGGTTGGTAGCCACAGATAATTGAAATGTCTAGAAAAGCAAATCTGTAGGCACGAAGTAGAATAGTGGTTGCCAGAGACAGACTGGAAGTAACAGGTTACTGAATAGGAGTTTCTTTGGGCAATAAAAATTTCGAAAATTTGATTGCAATGATTGCACAACTCTTAAGGATACTAAAGAACCATAGTATTATACAACTTATTTGAGATAGGGACATTGTAGCCCAGTTGGCCCAGAAACTCAAAATCTGTCTTAGTCTACCAAGGAGATTGCAGGCATGCATTAATTTTTATTCATTTGTGCATGTGTGGGTGGGGTGATGGAATTCATACCTAGGAAGTATACACTTTAAACATGAATTTGTGGTATGGTACTCATAACAAAACCAATGGGGAGCCAGGCATGGTGACCCACAACTGTAAACCCAGCATTTGGAAGACGGGAGTACTTGGGCTACATAGTAAGCTCAAAGCGCTTTGGAGACCCTATCTCAAAACAAAACAGGACAAATCAACCCTCACTAAAAAAAAAAAAAGGTGTTGGGAAGGGAAACATTACAAAGGAAAGTAAAGCTTAGGTCAATTTTTTTGTTTTTGCTGTTATTTTGTTTTAGTTTTTCGAGATAGGCTTTCTCTGTGTAACAGGCTGGCTCGAACTCACAGATCTGCCTACCTCTGCCTCCCGGCTGCTGGGATTAAAGGCGTGCGCCACCACGCCTGGCTCAGTACTATTCTTACAGGGTCTCCCACGAGCTAATTTAAACGCCCCTAAGCAGAGCAGCAAGGTGATTCAGATCCCTAAACCCACTTGCGTCTCGTCACTATTCTTCAAAATGAACGGGCGAAGCAGCCCCACCCATGACCCTGTTTCGCAAGGAGCGGGCCAAGGAAGCGGAGGCGGGCAGGACCTCCGGGGAAGCCCTGGGCCTTCTTCCCGAGAGCCGCAGCAGGTGACACGCCAGCCCAGGGCCAACCCGGAAAAGCCAGAAGAGCTAGTCCAGGTGAGTTCTCGTGATTGGCAGCCAGGGAAGGAGGGACCCTGGTGACGGTTGTCCCGCCCCCTCACGTCCGTCCAGTTGGCGCCAGCCTGGAGGAGGGGCTGGGCCCGGGGCCCTCGGCACCCATTGGGCGCGTGGTGGGAGCTCCCTGGGGAGCCGCCCCCAGCTTTGCGGCAGCCAATGGGCGCGGCGCGTGGGCGGGGCGTCGGCAGCGTCGGCGGAGGCCGAGCGGCTGAGGCGGCTGAGGTGGCCGCTGGCGCTCTGGTGGCGGGCGCGGCTAGGATGGCGAAGAGCAGCCGAGAGAATGGGCCGCGCGCGCCCGCAGCGGGCGGGAGCCTGTCGGGGACCCGGGAGAGCCTGGCCCAGGGCCCCGACGCCGCCACTGCCGACGAGCTCAGCTCGCTCGGTTCCGACTCGGAGGCCAACGGCTTCGCCGAGCGCCGCATCGACAAGTTCGGCTTCATCGTGGGTTCGCAGGGCGCCGAGGGCGCGTGAGTAGCGCTGGGGTCTGGGCCGGGCGCGGGACCAGCGCGGGCGTGGGCCTGACCACCAACGTGTCTCCACTGCCCCATCCCCACGGACCCGCCCCGAGCGGCTGTCGACTTCCTACCTACGTCGGACAGACAGGCCACCCCCTTCCTCCCGGTCCCCACGCCGGCACCCCCCCCTTCCCCCCGACCGATTGATCCGCTCCCTCCGAGGGACTCACATTGGCCTCCCGACTGGGGGATAGCCACCACCACCACCAGCCCCTAGACTCACCAGGTCGCCCTGGCCTTAAGGCTGATTGACTTTGCCACCCCGTGACATGCGCACAGATAGCTGCCCCATACTTGCCCCATAGCTGTTCTCCATCCCTCCCCTCCCCTACAGAATCCTTGTCTCACCACCTCAGGACCCCCACCCCAGGAAATCTTAGATCGACTTCAGGACTCCCGGCCGGCTCCACCCCACTCCAGGTCACACTAATCCTTACATTTAGACACATAGACACATTGACACTGGCCACCTCCCTCCCAGACACTCCCATCTTGTCACCGACAGTTTCTTTCCATCATGGGAAAGTCAGAGAGTGTCTTTTTCTCTCGCGCACACACACACACACACACACACACACACACACACACACCTTCTGCCAAAAGGCAGCTTTGTCCATTGTCACAGGCAACAGGTGGGCAGACACTCCCCCTTCCTAGTAGTTATAGGGTGACAGTGCCTCACCTCTAGGATTCACTGCCAGCTTCATCACCACAGGATCCAGCCAGCAGACTCCCAGGCTGCTGTGTGTATGTATACTTCCTTCCCAAATCCAGATGTAGGGCAGGAGGAGGAGGGAGGCAGCAGGAGCCCCGCTTAAGTAGCACCCCACCCTTGAGCACCCAGGCACCCCACTGGCCATTAGAAAAAGATGAGCATGCTGGGCTACAGCCTTCTATCCCACAGAACCCCTGGAAGTCAGTCCTCCCAGAGACTTGTGAGTTCATCTGGTGGTCCCCTCAGGAAGATGGCCTCTAGATCCCACTTCATTCCAGCTGTCCTGTGGTATGAGACTAGTGCCACACAGAGAACTGATAAGCCTCCCTCCCATAGCGTGCCTCCCACTTTATAGAGACAGACAGAACCTCCCAGTCACCAGGAGAGCCTTACTCCACAGTATATCCCTCCCTCCCTCTGACTAGTTGTGACTGCCCCAGGTGTCCCCAGCTATTCTCAGGACTTACAGAAGTGCTTGACTATCTTAAGAAACCTACTCCATAAAGTCCCATATAAATGTCACTTCCGTAATCTCATAACTCCCCCCGCCAAGAGTCTCTTATTCACCAGGCCTCCTACTCCTTAGGAGGAAAATTTTACAAATCCAGGCTTCTGACCTAGATGGAGTTTCCTCCCACCCACTGGATCTGTCTCTACCCCCCGCCCCCCATCTAGACTTGCTCCCATTAGGCTAAGCCTAGTCCAGTCCCAAACCAGGAGAACTCCTCAGTCTCGCCCTCCATCCTGACTTTGTCCTGTTTCCTTGGTCTGAGCTTCATGTAGAGAGGATTTAGGATGTGTTTCAACTGGGGCCAGGGAGGGGTGAGGTCTTGAGCGGTGCGAAGGGACTGTCAGTTTTATTTGTGGGGTCTTGGAAGTAATAGCTCAGATCTGCTGGTAAATTCTAAAGCATGAAAATTCTTCTCCCATGCATATTAGGCATTTAACCAGATTTCAGGGTGCAGGGTGATGTGAGAAAGTGAGGAAGGGCCAGACTTAGGGCTCATACTTGTTGGCTGTGTGACCTTGGGCAGATCTTGAATCCCTATCCTGTTTATTCAAGGGCAAAATTAATGCCTATATCCAATGCTACTGAGAAAAGTGAAAATCTGATGCATGGGGTCACCCGGCACCATGCCTAGCACAAGTAATAGCCCAAGAAATAGTTTTCTTTCTCCTTCTAAGGGTCTGAGAAATGAAGAGAAAAATGAGGGCGTACCTCTGGTATTTGTGGGAAGAGTCGCCCAATGGGAGCACCTCCCTTTGGCTCTCGTCCCCAATCAGGCAGCCAGATGTCTGTCTTCTCCACCCTCCAACTGCAAACCTGGGTTGTGGCTCTGCAAGATGCCCTCTCCATCTCCGGTGTCTGTGAGGCCAAGGCTGAAGGAGATCCCCATCTACTTCTGTCTCCCTGCCTCATTTTCTTCCGCTTGTCTGTTAGCAAAATCTCTGGTATCAGAAAGCTTGGATCTTCCTTGTTTAGTTTATACTGTGGTTCTAAAAAAGCCAAAAGTCAGTCCCTGCCCAAGGCCATAAGAGGGGAAGTTGTGGGAAGTTTCAGGGTGACCGCCCTGAACCTAGTCTCGTGGTTGAGGGCTGGGAGTCCATGTGCTATCCCGGAGAAGTGAAACATTGCACAAAGGCCTGCAGTGGAGATGGTGGGGACTCTGTCTCCAGTTTAAGGTCCATTTCAGACACCCTGGGCCGAAGGTTGCCTCAATACAGGTCAGTTTTGGTAGTTGCCAGGGGCTGTGGGCATGGGAAAGAAACCAGAGGCTTCCTCATTCTAGTGTCTGTTGCATTCTGGCCTAAAGTATATCATAAAATTATAGGCTAAGCTGGAATGGATCTTAAGAGATTGACCAGTATAGCCTGTGTCTAGAAGATAAAATAGACCAGAGAAGCAAAAACTTGCTTAAGTTCACTTAGCCTATTACAGCAGAACTAGAATTGGGATCCAGGATGTGAGAATCCCATGAGGACCAGCTTCACCATCCATAATTGTGGCCCTTCACCACCATCAGGAAATCGGTTGGCAGGCAGGTAAAACTGAAGATAACTAATGGGAATCTACCTGCCATCACAATCCCTTGCTTCCTCCACACTTCTTACACCCTTGACCGTGTAGGGGCTAACAAGAATGGCCAGGAAGGGTAGGAGCATGTTTGTCATTGGTCTGATTAGCTTAGGTAGGGCTGGACCAACCAGGGTTATTCACCTTTTTCTCCTCAGATCTGCAGTGGAGTAAATGCTCAATATTTATTAATTGAATGATTTACTGCTAGGTATTCCAAGTTAGAAAACTAAAAGTGAAGTGAACTTGGAGGTGACCACTGTCATACAGATAGGTGGGAAACAAGTATTAGCTTTGCTTTTTCAGTCTGTTAGGAGAAAAGCTGGGGGTTGACCCCCAAGTTACTATGCTGTTCCACTTTTCCATCTTGTCATTCAGCCTGCTCTGTAGGGAACCTTTTGTGGGACTGAACTGTTTCCTGTCTTCTCTTGAGCAGAAGCCAAAGGCAAGAAAGCAACTAGCCCATGAATGACCATGTGGGTGGCACAGCCACAGACAGAGGCCCTGGCAACATTAGTTCTGGGTTAGCCCAAGACTTAGCTGGATAGTGAAATTCCAAGAAGACCAGGTGTTGTGAGCAGGGAAGGGCGGGAGAGGATGAGTGATGTCACCCTTCCATCTCTTGAGGGAGAAGAGTGACCTATCTGATGGTCCTTCTGCAGCTGAAAGTTGGTCAGGAGGGGGAAGGACGTAAGTTAAAGCCCTGGTAGCTGGAGAGGTAAATCCCTAACCTTCCTCTCCTTTTCCCAAGTGATTATCAGCACTAGCCTGAGGCTGGAGCTTCCCACCCTGCCTCTCTTTCGGCTCAGTATGTAGGCCAGATGAGTCAGGAGTTACACTCTTTGGGATCCTGTGGGCATTGACTTCCTGTTCGGGAAGCAAGTGAGTTGAGCTGAGCTCAGGGAGAAACATATGGAACTGTAGTATTGTCTTCTTTAATCCCCTGGTTCCCTCTCTTCTAACCAATTTCAGTCCAATGACTTTGGAAGTCATAGAACTGGCTTAATTGGCATCCTTACAGATTGTTCTGTGCCAGTTTTTGTTGAGGTGGGGCCAGGGCTCTCCTGGCAAGCCAGAGCCTGCCTCTTCGCTGTGCTGCCTCCACTGCCTTTTTTAGTTTGTAAGCTCAGACTATGCACTTCTCTTGAGGTATTCCAGGTCCCAGGAGAGCATGGAGCTGGCAGTGAGTGGTCCCTGGGTAGTTCATTGGGAAGAATATAGCTGTACACGTGTGGCCCAGGTCCTTGACTCTAGACCATGAGCCTTCCCATTTGTTTCCCTCATTCCTTCTCTCGGCCTCTAAGGAAAGTCCAGTTTGATGGCCCTGTTCAAGATCCGACTTGGTAAAGGAGGAGGCAGCTCGACAGCTGCTGTCCTGGGAAGGTGCCTGTGTGTCCAGTTTCTAGAAACCCTAAGCTGTGGGAAAGAGATAAGCGGTGGAGCCTGCTTGATGTTTTGTCTTCCCAGCATCTGGCCTGAAACAGGACCTGGGGGTAGGGGATAACAATACCTGACTGAGCCGGGCCGTGGTGGCGCACACCCTTAATCCCAGCACTCGGGAGGCAGAGACAGACGGATCTCTGGGAGTTCAAGGCCAGCCTGAGCTACAGAGTGAGTTCCAGGACAGGCTCCAAAGCTACACAGAGAAACCCTGTCTCGAAAAACCCAAAGGAAAAAAAAAAAACTGACTGAGGCTCAGTCACCCAATCTGTTTGCATCAGGGTGAGGGAAGAAGGTAGAGCTGGGCCCTCTCCTAATACAACCTCTGGAGCCTGGCTGTCTGTGTGACTTAGAACATGTTGCCTCATTTCTGAACTTCAGTGTCTTACCCATGAAAAGACTATGCTAGTGCTGACTTTTTGGGGTTGCTGTGAGGTTTAAATGAACTGATGATGTGTGAAAAGAGCCTGGGACAGAGTAGGTGCTCAGTGACTATTAACTCCCCTTTTAAAGATGAGTAGTTAGTGATCTACCCTCCACCTCAGGCCATAGTGAGAAGAGAAAACCCTAATCCAGGTGAACCTCACTTCCCTTGAAGGGGTGGCAGTCTCAGTTCTGAACACAAGCACCTGAAGACCTCAGAAAAGAGTGCCCCAAACTTATCACCTGATAAATCCTGAAGCAACCAGGCCAATTTTCTTCCTCCCAGGTGGGTTCTGTGGGGAGAATCCTAGAAGGGAGAAAACTGGCCTGGCTGCCCCACTGTCAAGCCAGCAGTCCTGCTTATGAGCTCCCTTAGCCAGGAGTTTAGGGCAGCTGCCACCTTGGATTTCTTAGTTTCATCTTCCCTTTCTCCACCTCTCCTACCCGACACTACTCTGCAGCTTCTCTAGCTCTTCAGAAGCCAGCACAGATTAGCTCTTTACTTCTGCTTAGGTAGTGAGGTAGTCAGCCCATGCAGCAGCCTGGGGAGCCAGCTAAAGGCTTCGTTTTGCTAGCTTAGCCACTTTAGCAGTGAGCTTATTTCCCAGACACTCTTGAATACCTGCTCTGCCAGATGCTGTGATTGGGACAAGAACTGAACAAGACATCTCTGTCTTGGTACCCTCAAGGAATTCAGACTGGTTGAAAGACAGACCACAAACAAATCTTTGCAATGTTGAGTGATAAAGGCTGTAATTGAGGTGTGCAGCTGCTCTTAGAGTCTATAAGAGGAAGCAGCAGCTTTGCCTACAGGAGCCTATGAAGAAGTACCATTTGATCCCAGCACTCAGAAGGGACAACAAGATCTTTTTCATTGGCTAGGAAGGACTTCGTGCAACATCCCACCCAAAAGCCAGCTCTTTGAGAAGTTTAATGTGCTAAGAGCAGAGGTGGCAGGCAGGATGAAAGCAAGGGTAGGTTGGGAAAAGAGATTAGGCAGACAGCCCTGGATGCCAGCCTGAGTCCCCGTGTTCAGAGGGGTTAGGTGTTGAAGATGGCAGAAAGAGGAGCTAGATCACAGGCGATGAGATTGTC